TTATTACCCTCAGGATGCATAAACAAAACATTTACCTCAATTGGAACATAAACAAGACACCCATATCTAATAGACCATAGAGTGATGGCAGGAAGATTGAGCATGGTTTAGAATAAATTTTTTGCCCTTCATTTCTATTTTCAGCCACCACTGCCCACATCTGATCAGGGCTGATTGATGCTTGATGTTGCTTTATAGATTCTTTTTTTATTATTTTTTTGTAATTTCTTTTTATTTTTTCTTCCCTTTTTATAGAAGCTAAAATTAAGAGGGACTTGTAGTAGGTTTTGGTTCGTATTGGTTGTTGATTTTGTAGTTATTATTCCTCTATTTGTTTTAATGCAATTAATTCCAAGGCAGCATTCTTATTTTATTCTTATATGTGTGTTTATTTTTGCTATGTTGTTAATTTTTTTTAAAAAACATCTCTTTGAAAATCTTAAATTAATTAACAATTTTAAATGTTTTCCCATAATTAAAAGGGACATAGAGTGACTGAGAGAACTATATAATGAATTAAATGCTAACTTGAAAAACTTAATTCCAACCAACAATATTTGTCATCATAAAAAAGGGGAAGCATGTTGGAACCCATGAGCTCGACCAATTATTTTAATGATTCAAATATTATTGATTAGATCACTTATTATTCTATGTATATTTATATATTAATTTGTGCTACTAGCTTTTCAGGAATGGTACACGGGCTATAGTATCGCACAACATACAAGAAGCCAAGTCAAATAGGGATAACCCAATAATTGCAATTGTTACAAAGATTAAATATGTATACAAGTCTATATTTTTTTTTTCTTTGAGTATTTTTTGTATTCAAGTGTATGTTGAGAGGATAACTAAGCACACACACTCACAAGTAGATATAAAAAATTGAACACTTGATTTCTTTGTTAAATCATACTATATGATCTTATGGAGTTGTTGATATCCATGACCCTAAAACTATCAAGATTTTTAAAGTCAATGATCATATATTGAAATCATATTTAGGAGGAGATGTTGATCATCTTAGGAGCTCTATAAAGTTGTCTCATCTTGAATAGGATTCTAGCATAGTCTGGCTAAAAAATATCAACTTAGTGCTATTTTAGATGAAACTCAATTAATCTATGTGTTTACTATTATGAGTAGTGTGATTCATGTTTTTATGATTTGAGAAAATTTTTTTGGCTAGAAGTGAGCTTCATGTGTGTGTGTTGTAGTTGATTTAGAGTATAAAAAATTAATTTGGAAAATTTTAGCTTAGCACTACAGTGTTACCCTTTAAAGCACCACAACATTATATCAGTTATCGAACATATAATTTAAGTTGATTGTGTTGTGGTGTTGGAGGAATCCAGCATCTCGACACTAAATTACCCTTTGGAGAACCATAATACCATCCATGTAGCACCACAATATTGAGCTCTCAAGTAATTCTATTAACTCACAACGTCACCCATGCAACACCATAGTATTTGGTCAAATAATAAATAGTGTAGATGAAACACCATGGTGGAGGTCACTTTGAGTACCACAACGCTGTTATATGTTGACCGCCATGATAGACTCACAGTCAAAAAGCATGATATTCCAATTCCCAAGGGCAGTGCTACCTATCTTCAGTGCCAGAATGCTAGTACCTATGCTTACCAAATTTGATTAAGGACAGTAGTGCTTCTCAAGCTTGTGCCATAATGTTGTCCATATTATAAATAGGGATAGGAGCTGAATTTCATTCTCAAGTATATTCCTGTGCCTTTTAGTTATACAACCTTCGTATCTAGTCTTAGGTTCCTTATTTAGCTTTCCTTCGTTAGAAATGCCTCTAAAGCTCATAAATGGTAGGAATAGGGGAGGCTCCACATCCTATGAAGCCCATATGTTTATTAGTACAACCGCCAAAGAGTAGTATAATAATTTGGTAGGGATGTTTATTATCTGGAGAGAGAATTCAATAACCCCATGGGGATTATTTAGGGTCAAATTGTTGATCATAATTGAGTCTTCCTTGTCATTCAGACCCGTTTAGCCAATATCATGATTGTTCGAAAATTCTTCGCTAATATGAAGGAGCCCTATAACTAATGTATTTTTGTGCATGGTAAGTGGGTCTCTATCACTCTTGTTTCTATTAACCAAGTCTTCCGAACTCCTAATTTTCAATTTGACAAAGATGAGTATTAAAATTTTTGCATCACTATCATAAACTATAAGGAAATTATTAGGTACCTAACTTGGAGGGATTCAAATCTCCAATGAAAGAGGAGAGTGAGGATAAATTAATAAACTTTCCTACTTCTACCCTCACCCAAGAGTCCAAAGCATGACACTACTTTATCTCTGTGAATCTTATGCCTAGCAGAAATATTAGTGAGATAACTAAGGATACATCAATTTTAAACTATTGTATTAAAAAACATATGACTATGGGTTTTGATAAAATTGTTTTTTAGTCTATTCTACGTATGCTTAGGGGGTACTTCTATGGGACTAGGGCATCCTAATTTAATTTATAAACTTTGTGAGTTAGTGGAGGTTAGGGTTATAAACGAGTCAAGTGGTTCGAGTATTTGCCAAATTGAGCAATGCTTGTTTAGATCTTACTGAGCTCAAGCTCGACTAGTTAAAAAATTTATAAGCTCATGCTCGACTAGTTAAAAAATTTATAAGCTCGAGCTCGGTTCAATTGCTCAAGTTCATTTGAAAAGCTCGAACTTGACTAGATTTTTTAGCTATATTTCTTAATTTTAAATTAAAAAAATTCAATTTCATTAGAATGTTTATTTTAAAACTAGAATTAATTTAGAAATGTTAAAGAATATTATATAATATTAATTCAAATTAATTTTTAAATATATTTTAATTTAATCAAACTCCTCAATGAGTTTTTAGTCGAGCTTGGCTAAGCTCGAGTATAGGCTCGAGCTCAAACTCACGGCCTCATACGCCTCATAGTGACAAAACGACAGCCATAATTTATTGTAGATCACAAAGGAAATGCTAATTATTCTTGATATGTTTTGTGATTTTGCTTTCAGATTACTAATCTGATAGAAAAAAAAAATGGAGGATCTTTCGGTTGTTCGTGAGCATTTTTTGAGAGAGTTTTTTTAAGCAGACAAAAATCCATTAAAAATCTATCAAAAATAGTTTTCTTTTTCAATGAATTTTGACTATTTTTGCATATTTTATCATCGAGAAATGGTTGTTTTCTTGAATCATCAACTTAACTGGGTAGAATGAGTGAAGGTAACATCGCATATGAGTTGCCGAGGATGGGAGAAGGAAGATGTCGAGCACCAAGTGGAGCTGTCGAGGATGAGCGCTGATCAGAGCTGCCGATAACGGGAGAAGGAAGATGAGAATGAGCAATTAGGCCATGCCTCTTTTCTTCTATAAAACGACACTGGAGTCTAAAAGGAAATAACAATTTTAGGGCACATAAAAGCACTCTTGTCTCTATCCCAACAGCCACCTAAGTGACACCACTATAAAATGTCATAATATATTATGTATCCTAATAAATATATAATATAGCACTTTAAGGTGCCCTAATAGCTAGTAATTTTTGCAGTGTGGTATATTCATCTTTGGACAGTACATTCCATCAAAGGTCTTTTCTAACCTCATCAACCAGCACTTTACCGCTCTAGGCTCAACAATACTCTCAAAATCTTAGAGGCTTTAACCTAAAAATATATATGTAAATTCATATCAAAATCATCATATCTGATAAACAAAAACATACTCTAAGCCCACCTATCAATCGAGCTACTAGACAAGCAAACTGAGAAATATTTTACTTATTAAGTACTTCATATATAAGAATAAAAAATAATAGATTTTCCTCATACCTTTATACCTTTCATTAGAAATATATATATTAGAATTGAAGTCCTTATGACTCTCTTTGTTAGCATATAAAAAAATGGTCCCTTAGACTTCCAATGCTTAACACATATCAAGTATTTAAAAATTTATGGTCTTATGACTTCATATGAATCCCATATAACGGAACTTTCACTGAAAACAAAGCTTTATAAAATCACATATTTCAATTAGATAAGCATATATATCATTGTAGTAAAAAATGAATATATATCATTTAAAAAATGCACAAAACTTTTTATCGGTAGGTAATAGATTTAACTATTATACATAATTTTATAGTTTCAAAATTTCACTAGATTACGAGGGATTATTCATAATATTATTTTAAAGCTTTATATGCACTATAACATTATTTTATGGTATCATGATTATTTTCTATTTTTATAAAAAATAATGCACTTTTCAAATTATTGAGCAAAGAATTTCAAGGAAAATACCTAAATGTTTAGATTTGTCAAATCACATATAAAAAATTACACAGTGAAAATTTAGTGGGTTTAAAATTATCCTCATTTTTACACTATAAAATTATAAATATAATTAGAAAAAATTCACGATATTCATTTTTTTAAATAGAGATAAACATAATATAATCTACCTCGATCTAGACAACTTTCAAAAATTGTAATGCAGAAAATGGATCGGAGTAGCCTAAAAACTCTCACACGCTCTTTAAATGACTACTAGGGGGTTGATTTAATTAAACGAGAGAGAAGTTGATTTTGATAGTTTTATAAAAAATTGATCTAGCGTCGCGATGCTCGACTCTATTGGAACCGACCACAACGCCACAACATTAGTTATTTTTCCAAAAATTATTTAAGAACTCAATGCTGCAGCGCCACCAACCCAGCATCCGGTGCTTCTAAGGGAAAAAATTTAGATCACATGGATATGAAGAAGGCCAACCAAGATAAGATGTCAAAAGTAACAGTCGAGTAATCACCTTGAGATTATGAATCAAAATTATATCCAAATTATATTATTATTAGTTTATAAAGTAAAATTTTTTTAATATAATTTTATCGGGAATTTTTTTTATAATTAATAAATGTAAAATAATATATTTATATGTTTGAAAGACGTAATATATATAGTACGAACGGGTTCTACCTGCGGTTTCTAACCGCATCCCAGTCCAATCTTTTCCTTACCCAATCTTCCGCCGGTTAGCCGGCGATGGACCCCCTCTCTGCTCTGAAGGACTTCACCATCCGCGGAGAACTCGACAACATCACCCGAATCGACGATGAATTCCGTTTTGCCGGCGACTATTCCTTCCCCTGCACAATCGAAACCGCTTTCAGATCAAAACAGGGTAATTTCTACACCCTTGAAGCCCTACTGTTCTTCATCCGCCACCATCACGTTAAGCACAGCGAATATATACAGTCGGCCCGCCTCCATCGCATTCCAGCTGTAACCCTTCCCGATAGAAAACCCCTCCTCGATTATCTCCAAGGCAGGATCGCCTCCTATGAGTCCATCGAGCTGCTCCCCGTCGACGAGTACCGGCCCGATGACCCTTCCTACGGAGCTATTCCGTCTATTTCCTCATTTGGCGCTGGTGGTGAAAACACCTTAACGGAGCCTCTCGATTATGTTTCCTTGCTCCGTGCCCGAGAACGCCCGCTCAAAGACAGGGAGTCGCTGCTTGAGTGCCGGAACCGCGATTTCTACAGCGTGCTTGTTGCGTCAACTCGCCGTGAAGAGGAAAGGCATCGGATCGAGTCGCAGCAGCGTAAGGATGGGCTTGTTGCCAAGACACGGCTTATCGGATCTGACGACAGGGGAGATGACGGTGTCGGATATGATTCAACGCCGAGGCCGAAGATGCATCTTAAAGGGAGTAAAATTGGGGAGGGAGTACCGATCATTTTGGTTCCCAGCGCGTTTCAGACACTGATCACTATTTATAATGTGAAGGAGTTTTTAGAAGATGGGGTTTTTGTATCTTCGGAAGCCAAGGTGAAGGCGATGAGGGGTGCACCGAAGCCTGATTGCGTGACTGTGCAGAAGAAGCTGAGTAGGGATAGAGTGGTTGCTGCTTATGAGGTGAGGGATAAGCCATCGACATTTAAGCCTGAAGATTGGGAACGGGTGGTGGCGGTTTTTGTGCTAGGGAAGGAGTGGCAGTTCAAAGATTGGCCGTTTAAGGATCATGTTGAGATCTTTAATAAAAGTGAGAAGCTTCGACAATTTGTCTTCCATTTATTTTTTCTAGTTTTCTACGACATTCATAAGAAAATTTCATTATGTTGCTTCATTATTAGTGTTTTTTTAGCATAATTTTATTTTGTGGTAAAGTAGCTGGAGTGCATGTGCTTTAATTCGTATTTTCTTTTATAACTATGTCAAAGCTACAATTGCTTAAAATGATGAAGTGTCTTGGAAGTACCACAAAACATCATTAAAGCTTAAAAATAGATTTTATAAATTTCCAATTAGTCTTACTATTCTTTATGGATTATATTGGTTGCATCAAAGAAGTCACTCATAATATTATCTATTCTATGCTAGAAAGCATATCGATAGAAAGAGATTTCAATTGTCTTAACATCAAATGATATCTTACCCACAATCATTGAAGTAAAATGAATAGGGGCATAATATTTTTAAGTAAAAACTCATAAAGGGAAAAACTGCAATATCTAGTTTATTCGAAACAACTCTCACTAATAATAGATATTTATTATAAAGGGTTGCTTTTCTCCAAACTCAGAGAAGGTTTAAATATAAAGAAGGTGAAAGCACTCTATTTCGAGTATCACTAGTGATGCTGACTCAAGAAAGTCAATGAGATAGATGGAGTTGACCATGCTAGTCCTCATCCTAGATGTGAAGGTAACATGAAATGTTAACCCCATGAATCCACACTATTGTGAACTTAGTTTTTTTAATCTCAAACTATAAGTATGATTTTGTATCTAATTATTAGTGTTTTCTTGTTGTTTTTCTTTGTAGCTAACTCAAAATATTTCAATTTTTGACAACTGTTGTTTAATTATGAAGTTTCTGATTTTAACATTGTATAACCATTGTATGGTCTCAGATGTGGATCCTATAAATTCTTTAAGATATCTTGTTTGTAGTGGCAATATTTTGAATTTAATTCCTACCAATTTTCTCTATGTTTTTCTTTCTTCATCTCTTCCTTTTTTGTTGGCCCTTGTTTTGTAGAAGCAAAATTGAATAGTTTAGCTATCATCCTCCCTCAAAATTTTGTTGATTGCGCTGCATGTCTACATGAGTTCTTCTTGCTATTGTTGCCTTTGATCCATAGGTGGCTAGGAGGATCTATTGTTGTCTAGAACTAGTGATGGTTGAAACACAACAAGGAAGAAGATGTTTGACAGATTTGAGGCTAAGTGTTAATTTAAGCACTTAAATCGTAAGAAAGAGCAAGGCTAATTGGATTTGAGAAACTCTGATTTCAACAAGGATTTCAATCAAGAAGTGTTGAAAGCTATTATTCACCCATCCACTCTTATTTTAAAATTGACATTAGAGCCCCGCAAATCAAAAATCAAAGATGGCATTTGCAAGATTGAGAAACTCATAGGGTAAGATGAATTTAGTCTTTAGAAATTAAAGATGAAGATATTGCTCATGCATTAAGGCTTAGATGGATACAACTTCTTGAGACTCAAATTTACAGGAAAATAGAGATGCTAAATGTGAATCAGCTTGAATTTTGTGTTGATGAGTTTACAAAATTTTATAAAGATCAATAGATATCAAGGATTGCATGGTGAGGATGACTTCTCAATAGAATCGTTGACAACGATGTTCAAGATGACCATTCTTAAAAAGATAAAATGTGTGCTAAGTAATGTAGGGTGCTTAAACAATTTTGGGTTGAAGCAATTAGCATTGCAATCTACTTGATCAATAGATGTCCATCCTCAACCATCAGTTTCAAGACACCACAAATTTGAAGTAGAACCTATCGCTTCATGCTAAGGGTGTTTGAATGTAAAGTTTATGCTCACATCAAGCGTGACAGTGTTAACCATGTGCAATGAAAAGCATTTTTATTGGCTACCCTGAAGCATAAATAGGTGCAAGTTATGATGATGCATGATTTGTAGGACTGTCATGTTCAATGATTTGAAGAAGGATCGTAAACTCCTCAATAGTGATTTTTCAAAAATCTATATGCTTTGAGGAAACATGTGAGAACTTGTACCAACCATCATATATGCTACTTTATCTATTACACTAATATCTTATCTAAGTTTCAAACCTTTATCTATATTCGCTCAAGAATAGGTTCTTAACTCTCTCAATGAACCATGAACATTCCTAAATAGAAAGTTGTTGTTCTTAAGGAAATGAATGTAGTAAAAACACAAGTATGAGAAATATTAGATTTACCCTGGGGAAGAATACAATTGGATGTAGATGGCTGTTTATTGTCAAATATAAAGTTGATGGAAATATTGCATAAGAACAAACTTAGTTGTATAATCTAGACTACCATGAAACCTTACACCTATTTCTAAACTAAATACCATTTGGATCCTCTTATCTCTAACAACTAATCTTGATTGGCTAGTATGTCAATTTGATATTAAAAATGCCTTTTTAATGGGGTTCTTTAAGATTAGATATATATGAAAAATTGACATGGTTCCACTAAGTTTCAGCCTAATAAAGCATGCAAACTCAAGAAATCTCTATATAACATAAAGCAATCTCATCGGGCTTGGTTTGATAGGTTTTTTAAAGTTGTCAAGTATTATGGATATACTTAATATCTTGCGGACTGCACCTCATTAAAAAAAAAAAAATCTACTAAAGAAAAATTAGCTATCCTAGTTATAAATATGGATGATATTGTACTTATGGAAAATTTTACTGAGGAGATGGCAACCATTAAACAACTTTTGGTCAGGAACTTTGAAATCAAAGATTTGGAAAGCTTAACAAAGGTTTTAGGAATGCATCCCACAAACGTATCACTTTCACTCAACATAAATATACTATTAATCTCTTAAAAGAAGTTGAGATTCTTGGATGCAAATCACTTGATACTCCCATGGATCATAATATTAAATTAGGGATAAAAGATTACAATGCTATTAATAAAGGTCAATATCAAAGACTAGTTGACAGACTCATTTATCTCACTCACATTAGCCCTGTTATTTGCTTTTTTTTTTAAAGCTTGGTAGGAAAATTCATGACTAAGCCTACTGAAGAGCACATTGATGCAGTTATATGAATACTAAGATATTTACAAACGGCTCATAGGAGAGGATTATTCTTCAAAAGAATAACATAAAAAAAAACATAGAAGTTTTCACTTATGTTGGTTGCATAGGATTTTTGATTGATCTTAGACCTTCCTCAGCATCCTGTGCATTCATATGGGATAACCTTTTTACCCCAAGTTTCATGTTGTGGTTAATAGTAGTGTTGAAGTAGAATTTAGGACCCAAGTTATTTGTGATTGAATTTGGCTAAACTCTTCAATAATGTTTTTATCCTAGAAGAATCCATCAAATTACTTTGTGAAAACCAAGCCGCAATCAATATTATAAAGAATCTTATTCACCATGATGGAATAAATCATGCGGAAGTTGATCCTTACTTATAAAGGAGAAAGTTGGCAATGAGATTATTTCTCTTTTGTACATTGCAACTCATCTAGATATTATTGACATTCTTCTAAAGCTCTCTTAAGAAGCAACTTTGACAACCTAATCATCAAGTTGGGAATGCTTAACATATACTATTTAACTTTAGGGGGAGTGCAAAAAATAAGATCCTAGCTGATTTGGAAACATATAATTGCCATGATCAAGTCCGTTATTTCGACATTAAAAAGTTTCACCATAATAGAACTAATAATGTCGAAGTTGATTATTACTTCGTGAAGGAGAAAGTTGACCATGAGACTATTTCTTTTTCATACGCTGCTGCCATCTATGAACTGCTGACATTTTTACTAAAACTCTCTTAAGAAGCAATTTTGACATCCTAATATCCAAGCTAGGAATGCTTAAAATTTACTATCTAGGTTGAGAAGGAATCTAGAAACATAAAATTTCCATGATCAAGTCCATTGATCTGTTTCTCTATTTGCCATCGTATTTAATGATTTAATTTTTTTTAATTGATTGAATTCTGCGCATGGCAATTTATTTCTAGGTTTGGTTCACATGTTGTAGAGGATTTCTTGCGCATATGATGGGCAGCCAATTGCTGTTAATTATGTCCTGATTTGTCCTTTCAGTGCTTTATTTCCATTTCTTTTATTCCTTAACATGCCTTAGTTTAAGATTTTAAGTCCTGAAATTTTTTATTATTAATTTTCTTGTTTTAGGTGTATTGGTGTATTTCCTTACTGTTTTAAAAAAATTATTTAAGTAGGAACTGGGTTTTTGATCACTGTTTCATTTTTCCTTAATAGACTAAGATCATCTTGTTCTTCAAAATTAAACTAATAAAAAAAGAAGCCAACACGTAGACAGCTAACACAATATCATCGTGCATGATTTATATTTTTAATGAATAAATTATTTTAGATTTACATCATTTTACGTGACTTTTTATGAGGTACTCTTTGAATGATCGCAATAAGTATGCCATCTCAAAGCACATAAAACCTTTGATAATCTCTGCATACAATTTAACTTTTAGAACAAGATAAATTGATACTAGATGTGAGTTCACTAGAAGTAGAGGATAGAAAGGAGAATCTACAGTGTTGGTTCTAAGTTCATGAAAAAAAGTCAAATTAGATATATTAAAGGCTGATTTGATATATATATGCTTCTAATGCACTTTAGGATTTTATATGGTTCCTCCTTATTTGCCTTTAATATCTTAAAGGCTCATAGAATTAGCTTCTTAAGATTCTGATGCACTATTATCATATTATGTTGTTTAAATTTTACATGATTTGTTCACACTGACGATAGATTTGTAATTTTCACAATCACAATTAATTTTTGTGAATCCATTCATTTTTATACAAATCTTGCAAACATTGCATATGTTATGGAGCTTGTAATGAAGAAACTAAAATGTCGCACATGTCTTGATTCATAAGAATAATGATTTATAACCTATTTTTGGATGATGAGAATATTAAGAAAATTGACAGCACGTAAAAAGGAAAAAAAATTGAGAGCATGCAATCCACAAAAAATATGATATGCATATATAACAAATAACCTTTTAAAGCAAAACTGCTCAAATGGTTTAAATATTAATGATAATGAATCAAGCACTTTTAAATTTGACTAGATCAATGGAAACTTAAATTTCGTCTGTATTTTTAAGGCATTATCTAACAATAAATTCATTAAGGTATTATTTTCTAACTAATATCTGTTTATGAATTTGTAAGTCAAGGAACCAATAACTAAAACAAAATTAATTTCAGTTTGATTTGTAAAATTAACTTTGTTAAAAATTTCATCAATGGTTAGATCAACTTGTTCAATTGATTCACCAACTACAACTGATTTGATTTGTTTACTTTCATATTTTAGAGCTAGATTCACTTTTGATTAGGTGTTTAAGTATATGTTTAGGAGTAAATTAATTTAATAATGGAAATTCAAGTTCACATTTATGAGTCAAATTAGATCCTTTTTATGGTTTATCTCTAATTATGATCTTAGGTTCAATTTTAGTTTGAAGTTCAATTTCTGATTATGATTTAGTTTTAGAATGCACCAATTTGATTTTAGGCTCGGATCTTACTCTTATTTAGATATAGTCATGTTCATGAATAAGTCATAACGCTTATGTGGATTCTGATTCAATAATATTAGATATCGGTTTATAGTGCATTTGATACTACAAATTATCTGAGCCTAAAATCCACATAAGTTATAGTTATGTCATATCGCCAATAAGTCATATCGCCAAAAAGATAATTTGTAGAAAAATATTTCAATTAGTTTTGCAATTAATCAAAATCTTGTCTCTTTCGCAGTCTCTTAATTGAAACCTATGTTGAGCCCTACTTCTAGTCATTTGATACTACCCTATCAGTATGCCTTACTTTTAGTTTATTTGATTATGGAATTGTAAAATTTGATAATAATTTGATGTTGGACTTCTTAGGGTGTATTATTCGCTTATGCAAATATAGGATGAGATGTGCGATGAAACACAAAAGATCAAAATTCACATTTTTTCAAATTTTAATTTAGTCAAATATTATTCTTTTGATGTAAAATTATAAAATATATTTACTCTCAAATGACAATATAAAAGTCCCCAAAATTTAAAATATTAGAAGAAATACAAGAATGAATATGAAATTAAGATTAACACCACAAAAATGAAAACTAATTGTGCTGAATTTAACCAAATATCAATCATTAGCACAATCAGCTACAAAATAACTTAAAATTAAAGTATAAGGATAAGCCACTAATTTAAAGATCTAGGTCTTATGTCTATACAAAGATAGACATCTCCCAAAAATTATGATCTAGACTTGCAAAGAAGTCAGAAAATCCAACATCAATATTGAGAGGAAAACAAAATTTAATATCATCATTCTTTATTAAATATGCGCCTTATAAGTCTTATGTGTAACCTAAAAGACCCAAAATTAATACTTTCTCAAAATCCTCCAAGATATTGTCAAATACTGTTAGTTTCAATCCTACATTCCTATTCACTTGGTTTTTAGCAATAAGAAGTTCATAATCTCTAGGTTTCAACAAAACAATAAAGCTACTATTTTAAAAATCCCATTCCAGCAATACCAAGCAATTTTCGGTCCCCACAACAGTGTAATACTTTAGATAGTCAAATGAAGCTACAGTAAATGGTTTTAAATGGTTGGACGCTCAGGTTTTAGCAATCAAATTTGGCTTAGAATGTTGATGATGTGTTTTGCTTACATGATTTTATTGACTTTTCTGCTCTTAAATGGGAGGCGGTTGTCATTTTCAATTTACTCTAAAGGTGCTATTTGTGTTTTTTTAGGTCATTTTAGTCAAATGACTCCACCATTTTTAGAGTAGAATGATCTTGTTATGTGTTGTTTAGATGCCTACTTTATTTTCTTCCCCCTACTTTGTTCTTCTCTATTAAATCCTGATCATATATTAAATTGTCAAGAAAATGGTGGCATATTCTTTAAACTTCTAGAAGTTATTTGCCCCTATGAACTTTGATTTTTACTACATGTGGTTATTTTATGCCTCTTATTGAAAAAAAAAAAATCTATGTTTTTTGGTGGATAAGTTGGCTGGCTAAATTTTTTCATAAATTGTTGATGTTCCTTCTTTAACAAAAAGTTAGTTATCAAATATGATGCATTGATAGACCAACTGAATGCAGTTATTGGATTTTACGTGCGCTTTGAAGATGATAGTGTGGAATCTGCAAAGATGGTTAAGCAATGGAACGTAAAGATTATCTCAGTGAGCATTTGATCCATCACACCCTCCATACCCATACAAGCTTTCTTTTTCTTTCTTTTCCAACGTATATTGCGTGATCTTCTTGCTCAGATCAGCAAAAATAAGAGGCACCAAGACCGGGCTGCAGCACTGGAGGTGTGGGACCGGCTAGAGGAATTCATGCGGTCACGTTCACACTCTTAAATCAGCTGAGTTTCTCTAATAGCTTGCAGGTATTTACTATCTTATAAGTTTTTGGAGCTTGAACTACACCCGGCTGCACATTCCAGAATGATTTTATCTTGTTGCTATCACTTGTTTTCCTCTAATATAAAACATGGTTTAAAATTGCGCAATATGAGGCTCGCCTTAAGGCCCGCCTCGCCTCACTGGCATGAGGCTTATGCCTCACGCTATATATATTAAAACTTTCATAAATCTTGAAGTAAATGCTCGACATTGGACTCTATAGCAGAGGAGGAAGGGGAGAGAGCAGTTCATCATAATGATGATTCAAATGAAGAACCCCTTAGTGATGACAGTGCTGATGACTTATGAGTTCTTATGTGATATGTCATTTCTATTTATTTTTAGAAATTAGAATTATATGTTAATGAAAAGAATAATGGGATTTGGGAAAGATAGAATTTTGAGTTGAAATATATTTCATGTTGTCTTATTATTGGGATATTTTGATTTCACTTTATATCTTATGCTTTTTTATGTTTTATATTATTCACTCATTAGTATATAAAAAATTTATCATTTTATGTTTACGCAATCTTTTGGTTTTGAGGCTTACGCCTCAAAACGCCTTGAGGTTTACGCCTCAAAACGCCTTGAGGCTTACGCCTCAAAACGCCTTGAGGCTTACGCCTCAAATCACAAATGAAAAACGCCTCAATACCCGAATACGCAATTTTAAACATTGCTCCTAAGAGGGTACATGCTCGGTACCGCTCAGTACATGCTCGATACCGCTCAGTACATGCTCGATATTGCTACGTATATGCTCAGTACTGCTAGGTACATGCTCGGTACCATTCGGTATCTTTCCATACAAACAACTTACGAACTTTAAAAACAAGTAGAACTTCAAAATTACTCTTATAATAAAATTTTGTTCCGGGGGCGCTGCCCTCGGAAACCCCCGCAGGGGTGCTGCCCCTTGACCCCGCGACCTGATCGGGCATGTCGAACCCCGCCAAGGGGCAGCGCCCCCTTGGACCCCCGACAGACTGGTATATTGTTGTATTTATATTCCTATCAATTTAATTTGGTGTATTCATATGTATAATTGGTTTGTTAGCAAAATGAGCTCTGCTACTGGCAGGGGTGGATTAGGTGAAGGTTCAAAAGAGCCATTTGTCCTCACCGTGTCCGTGTCCTATATTTTTAAAAATTATTATATATTATATTAAAAAAATATTATGCCGTGTCCACGCCGTACCCGTGTCTTATATTTTTAAAAATTGCCGTGTTCGTGTCATGTCGTGTTCGTGTCGTGTCGTGTCCGTGTCGCCGTGTTCATGTCGGTGCATCATAGCTTACGCCTTGCCTCACGAATGAAAAACGCCTCAATTCCCGAATACACAATTTTAAACATTGATATAAAATGAGCGACTTGCCTACTTACCTATGGGCTTCCTTTTATGCAACTTTTAGCATTCGGATTCAAATTTGGTCAAGATGGACTCTTTAGTCATCAGATTTTCTTTGGATAATTATAATACATGATAAATTAATTAAAACTTATATTACACTCATTTTAAGACAAATCAGATTGTTATAAAGCTGATATCCGGATCAAAAATTTTTCCATTCTTCTTTTTACTTGTTTACATCTTTTATATTTGGTAGTGTCTCAGTAGAGTTTCCAATAATGTTCTTGTTGTGTTTCTATTTTTTGTTTAATCCAAAATTTCGGTCTTGTAGAGAGGTGGAAGATGCTGATTCCAGGAAGCTCATGAAGATCCATATGAACAAGTTTGGCTACTCATGCCCATTACCCGCTACTTAATGCATATGTTGCATAATTAAGTTTTTCTGCCTTGGAATTATCGCTGTTCTCTTTGCTAGGAAGTGATTTTACTCTTTTGATTCAGGATGAATGAGTAGAATAATTGTAGAAGTTTAATTTTCTTGTTTTTTAATCTTTGAATTTACATAGTGACTCTCTGTATAGGAATAGAGGGGTTTTAATGAGTCAAATTACTTCTTGAGAAGGAATGCACCTGAAAATATTGAAGCACCATTTTTGGCATTAACTTCTTTACTTTTAAATATGATGAGAAAAAAGGTTAAATTGGTCATTTGAATGATTTATGACGGTAATTTTAACCAAATTATTTATTTTGTCTGATTTAATGCTTTGATTATGTAAATATGATTCAAAGTAGTCTTTAACTGTTGACATTAATAGAGAGATTATTTTGAATTATATTGAGGCGTCAATGAGTTAAATTGAATATATTTATAATTTGGGGCTAAATTGGTTACATATAAGTAGTGCATATACTGTTTTGATTTTTTTCCCCTAATTACTATTGACCAGTTTGTTCATTTTAGAGAGATAGCGAGAGATTTTCTGTGCTGGCTATGGGATGACTTTCTTTCTTGAAAGGGATCATAAAATGGAAAAAAAAAAACTTTATTCTATGATTCAAAGGCCAACACTATCTAACTTCGGACACCTTCAAACAGGTTAGTATTTTTTTTTATTTAATTATATTTGTGCCTGCATTTTTTTTTTTGTGGGGGTGCGGGAATTTAGGGGCAGAGCTCGTTTCTATAAATGTGAGAAAATAGTTACAAAAGACCCCAATTGAGGTAGAACAACGAGAAGTACATCAGCTGTTGGGATACACGTCAGAAAACTAAAAAAAAATCTATTCAACTCAATAAAAACTGAGTTAAGTGAAATACATTTGAAGATAAAAGAACAACCATGCACATATATGTGAAATCTTATTTTAAGCTAGAAGTAGAGCTAAAAAAAAAACTTCAAGCCCTCATTGTAGCAAATTGAGAAATAAATCTCTTTAATATATGCTTTTTTCCAACTATAAAAAGAGGAGAAAACCCTTTCTGTTTCAGCCTTTGAAACTTCTAGAAATAGTGTTAAACGCTTCTTATATATCAAGCTTGCCGTAGGAAAACCTACCATTGTGATTATTTTTGAATTCTCCCAACAATTCTGAGGCATGGATGATATAATCCGTGGAGATCCTTTTGTTTATAAAACCGGCTTGTGAGAGGCTATTTATGTAATTCATGAGAAGTTTAAGCATATTAGTGAAGATTTTAGAGATAATGTTGTAAAATGTATTACAAAGTGAGAGATAGTTCTAAACTCAGAAATGTCATAAGCATGTGAGCCTTTGGGAATCAAAACAATAGTAGAAGCTTTTACCATTTTGGGAATTTGAAGGGTGTTGAAAAAATGTTTGATAGCCTTGTAGACAAGGGGGCTGATAATTGCCCAGGTATATTTGTGAAGTTTAAATGAATCCATCAAGTCTAGGAGCCGAATGTTTGGGAGCAGTGAATATCCTATTTTTTGTCAAGAGCAGTAAGCATAGATGCCAAGTAGTTTGGAATTGTTTTCCTAGTAGGAATGGTTTGAGGATCCATAGAGGGAGAATGGTGAGTGTTGAATAAATTTTGGAAGTGAAGAATGATGTTTTGTGCAATCTCAATAGGGGAGTTGAAAGTGCTTGATGGGGTAGATCTCTCCTAAATATAATTTATTTTCTTCCTTGAATGAAGCTTCCCATAAAGATATTTTAGATCATCTTCCCCATGGGATAACCAAGCAACCCAAACTGAATGAGCTTGAGAAAGCTTTTCTTCAATTTCTTTAGAAAGAACATTAAGGGCTCAAAAAGTGTTTGTGCTGAAGGTCTTGAAGGTATGCCCAATTTCTATTTTTGATGGAAGCCCCCAAGCACTTCAATTTAGAGTAAAGACTAGCAATGGGGTTACCAACTATACTTTGAGAGAATATTTGAAATGATCTCCCAAAATTGAGGGATTTTAACCCAGAATTTTAAATTGGATTCTAAGATTCCTTTTTATGGGAGGCTGGGCATAAAGTATTAGGGGAGAATGATTTGAGTCTGAGCACATAGGTCCTTAAATTTTACAGTAGGATGATGGTTATTATTGGATCCAAGTCTCATTAACCAGAATCCTATCAAGCTTAATATGGATGGGGGTAGAAGGTATTTGATTAAACCAAGTATACTTGAGGCCCACTGAAGTAAGGTACATGATACCAATCTTGAACCTAAAATTGGGAATATGATTTCCTATAGATTTTTCATGGGAGAATATGCAACAGTTAAAGTCTCCCAAGATGATCTAAGAGGCAGAGATATTGTCCCCATTTTGTTTTAGATGAAGCCAAAGGGAAGATCTCTTAGCCATAGAATTTGAACCAAACAAAATATCATCATGAATAAATTGGCTGGTGGTAAATACAAGGTTGAAGGTTATTGCAGAAGCATTCTACTTTTGTCCAGATCTGATCAGGATTAGAGTAGGAGAAATTATTACAGGAGCTTTCGTTAGGAAAGATTTTATTTGAAGAAAGAAACTAGGGGTTAGAGATAAGGTCATAGTGGATTTAGCCTCAACAATGCAAAGAAGGTCAAGATTAAAAGATTTGACAAAGTCCCTACAAAATAGGACATTTTTATGGTTGTTGAAACCCCTTACACTCTAGGATGCAATTATTGGGAAGGACATTGGGTTTTGGAGGGGGGGTTGCCTTTTTTGACATTTTTACTTGTGGATCTGGTTGTAAGATTGTTGGTTTGTGACACGGTGGAGGATGTGTATTGATCATCAATTGAGAGAACCATAAATTTATTATAGTTTTGAGAGTTGCTTTGAGGTGGGACTTACTTCGGATGAAGCATTTTGAGCCTCATAGGAGAGTTTAAGTTAGGTATTTTGGTTGGAGGAGTAGAAGTGGAGCTAGAGGTGGTGGGTGTTTGTCGAATGATCTTTTGAGGTTTTGAAGGTTATAATTTTGATTGTTCATGATGTGTTGTTGTTCACTGGTTGAATTGGAGGTTGAGAGGGAGCCTTTTGGATATATTGTTGGGGAGGGGGCTTTATGGGTATTGGGTTGGTGGATGTGTGAGAGCTGTGGGTTGGGTTGTTCCTCCTTGGTTTCGGCTCTGACTTCTATCCCTAGTGAGGGGATTGGGATTTTGAGTGGGTAGGCTTTTCCAATTGGGGATAAGAGGATCTTAGAAGAGTTTAGAGGCGGAAGGGATAGAGGAACGGTCGGGATTAAGGAAAGCAGCCAAAATGTTAGCTAAAAGAGAAAAATCATGTTGGGAAAATACGTTATTAGCCATAAGTTGAGGTGTGGGAAAAAAGTAAGAATAAGGGCCTCCGACAATGGGCAAATTATTACGTCCGGTTTCCGGATTCGTCCGTACACCAATCGAGATGCGCCAAATCATCAAAATGCACTGGGGCCCGGTGTATTTGGGTGATGTGGCGCGTCTGGATTGGATGTCCGGACGTCCGGTGACCGGACATAGTAATTCGCCTAGGGGGGTGTAACTATGGGATCACTGCAAAAGAGTTCCTGCATGGTGTTTATCATCGCAAACTCGTAGTGAGTTATGATTCTTCAATTCCGTTAGAAAGATTTTTTAGTTCTCATCCTTGTTGTTTCCATTCATGAAGAAATGATTCATTCTGGCAGAGAAGTAGATCCTTTGTGCTTTGTTTGGTTTGTAGGACTTGAAAGAGAGGAACTGGCGAAAGAAAATGGTAAATAAATCAAATTGAAATTAGTTTTCCTCCATTTGCTCAATTGAGGAACGCTTGCATGAAGAAAATATCTTCTCGTAATTGTACTATTGATGAGAAATTTTAGTTTTGTTTCGTGTCAAGATAGGAAGGATATACATGTCACACATTTATGAGCTGATTGGTGAGTCGGTTCGGGCTCAACTCAATAAATAGCCCATGAGCCTAATGAGTTAAGCTTAAGCTAGCCAACCTTGACTCAACTCATCAACTCTTTTAAAAATATTAATATAAAATATACTTAAAGTAAATTAATATTTAACATTTCAAGTACAAAATTATAAAAAATGTTTTAAAAAATATCACTTTCTTATGATAAATGATTCATTATTATTTTTCTTTTAATTTCTTAATTTTTTAAATTATTTTATTATAATAATTACATGTTTCATAACCATTTTCAATTTTTATAAATTTTTTTTTTCGATTTTTTATAATAAATGAGTCAGCTTGAACTTATAAAATAAAGCTCAAGCTTGAACTCAAATTTGAAATCAATTAATTAATCAAATTCAAGCTCAAGTTGGGAGCAATTGGAGCTCAATTTGACTCGTTCATACCCCTATTGGTAACAGAGTCCAAGAGCAAAGATTATTGAATTCCTTTATTCTGTAAAGCTTGCTTTCTTCCAAATTTGGTGGGTGTTTGTTAGATGGAGGATGTTACTCGATAATTTTTCAAATTTTAATTAGCTCTATTTCCTTATCTAATCTTCAGTACACAACAAGCAAGGAAAAAAAAAAAAACTCTCATTAAAAAAGCCTCTATAGACTAATAATACGTACAAATAACTATAGATAAGAGTATGAATTACAAAATGAAATAAAATGCTAAAGATTTAGAAGCAGGAAGCAAAAAACACAGCAGAGAGCATAAAGAGAACAACTGATTTGTTCGAGCTGCCATTCCTTGATTTCGATCCATTTGCTGCATCCATTTAAATTAATTTTTCGTAAACAAGCTTTTGATTGAAAAAAAAAAAAACGGAAAATGTAGAAGAAAATGAATGCACCTGAAGGTCCAGTTCCAGTCGGAGAGGTGGATGGGGCCGGATTACTTGATGGGCTCACCGGCGAACTTGCGGTTGCTTCCGGAGACTTTGCCGGAGAGGTCGTCGGACCTCCTGAACTAGTTGCTGGAAGCATGTTACAAAATCTCTGTTATTAGTTTAATTCAGGGGCAGCTTAGAATCCCCAACTGCTAGAATGTTTGGTTGGTAAGTAGGATTTATATATTTTGATTTAAATTATATTAAGTTTACTTGAAGATTTAATAATCATATTTGAGTGATTAAGATTTCATTTGGGACGGTTTTCTTACTGTAGCAATTTTCTAGTACAAAATTTTCAATTTTTATATTAGAAAACTGCTTTAAGAAAAAAAAAATTGTATTAGAAAGCTGCTTTAAGAAACAGTAAGAAAGTTGTTCCAAATGAAGCTTAAGGCTTCGTTTGGAACGGCTTTTTTATTGATTTCTAAAACAGAGTTTTATACAATTTTTTTTATTTTTTACTATAACTCCGTTTTATAAAGCAATAAAAAAGCCGTTCCAAACGAAGCCTAAGGCTTGTTTAGGGATGGCTTTTTAATGCTATTTTTAAAATAATTTTTTGAATAAAAACTTGGTGAACTCAAAATTCATGTATGAAAAAGTTGCTTTAGTAAGAAAATTGTTTGGGATGGCTTTCTTAATGTTTTTTAAAGTAGCTTTTAGTATAAAAATTTAAAAAACTATCTTAAAAATATTAAGAAAGCTGTCTCAAAAGAAGTCTAAATTTAATTAGGAAAACTTAATTGATTTTTTTTTTTTCAAATTTATAAATCCCAAAACTCAAAATCTTCTGATCCCTCAAATTCTATTATTGACAGGATTCATTCAATCAAATTTTTTCACCTAAATATAACCAAAGTTTGAATTCCTGAAATCTAGGAATTAAATGGAGCCACAAAAAAATATTTGGCTGAAATTAGACAACCTCTTATTAAAGGCAAATTATTACGTCCGGTGTCCGGGTTCATCTGGACATCAATTCAGACATGCCACATCATCAAAATACATTGGATCTCAGTATATTTGGATGACTTGGTGCGCTTGGATTGAATGTCCGGACGTCCCATAACCGGACGGAGTAATTCGCCCTTATTAAAAGTGATACATGAAGAAGAAAGTGGTTACCATTGCATTTACTAACAGGCGGTGTTTGGACCTTACAGGCTCCTGGAAGGGCTAAGGCCCGAGTCTTATTTAGTGAAATACCAATGGAGAAGCCTCCGTTGAGCACAGTGCATAGGCATAGAGGTTGCGATCTCACAACGTTACTCAGCTGAGAACAACAACTCGACGACGGCGCGGTCGAGTTGCCGGAAATATAGCTCAGGCATGGCGCCAGACTGATAATCTCTGCCGTGCAGCCTGTCTGTGCGGTGACAGGAATTGATCGATAAGCCATGACCATGGCCGTTGCCACCAGAATCATCATTGCTCGAAGAGCCATTTCCTCAGTATATTGAAGCTTACTGTGGCAGCTGCGAGAGGAAGAAGAAAAGAGGAGGAGGAGGTGGTGGTGGTGGTGTAAGCGTAAATGAGGGGGAAGGGGACTTATAAGATGGGAGAATGGGAGCCATATGCTTGGAAAATTTTTGGGTTAAGAAAAACGCTAATTAAATTTTACTTAGGCTTAGGTTTCGTTTGAGATAACTTTTTTACTGTTTTTTAAAGCAATTTTGAGTATAAAAGCTTTAATTTTTTACTAGAAAAATGCTTTAAGAAACACTAAGAAAACCGTTCCAAACTACCGAGCCTTAGTTTGGGAAGGCTTTTTTATTGCTTATTAAAACATTTTTTTTTTAAAATGATTTAATAACTAGTAAGAAACATGTATCGAACGAAGCTTTAAAGTCATCAAATTTATTCTAAAATTAATAGAATATGTATACAAAAAATTTTGATTAAAATTTATATTGCATTTATTTTCAAATACAATCAATGATTTTGAAATTTAATATATGTCATGAGCCAAAATTTCTCTTACTTGTCTTGGTTTCTTTGGGTTGATGGCCTACTCGTGATAAGGGTTGAACCTTATTTTGAGAAGCAACTAACGGTTTCTAGAACTAGCAGATTGATAGAATTTTGTGGAAATAAAAAATACCTTAGAAGCTTCTCATTATATATATATATAGTACAAAGATTTTATTTTTTTCATAAATTATAAGATAGCTCTATATAAAAATAAAATGGACACATTTTATTTTAAAAAAGATTGGCTTTATTTGAGACTGCTTTTTAATTGCTTAATAAAATGACTTTTTATTACAAAAGTTTCTTGAACTAAAAATTTGAGCAATTTTTAGGACTAAGCATGATTAGAAATGTAATTAAGACATTAAGCATCTTTATTTTAAAATTTAAAAGTATATATAATCTCCCGTTTAACTGGTGATTAGATGATTAGGCATAATCACCCGTTCGACGGGAGATTAATATACCAGGTCAAAAATGTCTGACAAACTGGCAATTTTGGCTTGTTTAAAAGTCCAACAAAAAATCCCTAGCTCCAGTCTTTGTTTGGCTTCTTCAATCCCGTTGCCTTTGCCCATCGCCACTGCCCATCGCCTCCTCATCGGTTTTGCTGTTTTAGGTAAGTAAAAATGTATTTTTTTAATAGAAATTTATATATTTGTATTGCTTTCCTAAATAGAAGGTAGAATAAGGAGAAAAAAAAAGTAAAATGTACCATGCAAAATTGTAGAATAAGATGATTTTAGGTGATGCCTATTTTATATGTATTTTTGTACATATCTATGGAAAAATCATGCAAAAAGTGAAGGATTTATGATTATTATGTATTTTATAGGTTTGTTAATGCTTAATTATGGAAAATGGGGAAATGTTCAAGTTCAAGAGTTAAGTTATTATTTTTGATATCTAATTTAATAGAAAAATTGAACTTATTAGCAGTTGTTGGGACAAAATGTTAAATTTGTTGAAACCAATGAGTATACTATTCCGGTATTATTTTTGCTTGGTTATTATTTTTTCTAATATAATTATTACTTATTTTTGTTAAAACTTATGTAGATAATTTAGTCCTTATTTATTTGCATTAATAATTATTCATTATTTTTAATAGATATCATATAATTTATGAAATTATTGGTAAATATAACTGTACGAAAATAGTTCCAAATTTGTCATTGAAAAAATGGACTTTTACCCACCGTTGCTTGTCCGGGTGGTGAAGAGCCGACTAGGTAAAGCCTAGGTCCCTGGTTCGAGTCCCTTGGCAAGCAGTGAAAGCCTTAAGTGTTGGCCCGTGTAAATTGGTGTGAGTTGCATGCTAGGTCGACCGGGGTTTTCACTGGCCTAAGGACAATACTTCTTCGTCACAAAAAAAAAGAGGAAAAAAAGGACTTCTTTGTTAACTTTTTTATTAGACATCATATAATTTTTTTATGTTATTTTGGTTTATAATGGATATCATATAAAAATATTTATATTACCATTTATAATATTTATATTTAACGAGTTAATGATAATATTAGCATAGTGAAATATTAATAACTGAAAATTTTTTGGAATGTAGTGTGGAATGTAACGAATTTAACGATTGTCTTGATGAAATAAAAATATTGTTTCAAATTTATTGTAAATGTAGGTATTCAAAATGAGTGCACGATCACTATCTTTTATGTTATTATATGACGGAGAGTTATCCTTAGATGATAATTTTTTGCCAACTTATATTGTTGGTAAATGTTGGCCCCTCTAAGTTCCATTCAAGTCGACTTTGAAGCAGTTAAATGATAGGGTTCTTAAGGCGCTGAAGTACGATCCCTCAAAGTTCACAACGTCAATTGTGGGTTGTTTCTAGTGGGTAACCAATTTATGGCCTCAAAGGTTGAGGATGATGAAGGTTGTGAGTTTCCGTTTTCATTGGTTGCTTCTGAAGTTCTAATTCTATATGTGGAGATTGAGAAAATTCCTGATGATATTAATTTGGATGAAGATCTGTCGACTCAAATTCATGATTCTGTCATACTCGATCATGTACATGAGATGCATGATGCTGCTGAGATGGCCTTATCAATGTCAAATACACATGTTGGGTATGTTAGTTGTGAATGAAATAATAAATTTTTATAATTCTTATTTTTCGTGATCTAATATTATATAACTATAAATGCAGATTCAAATTAACCTCTAACCAAAAGGAATTGCCCTATTGTCCTTCTACACAATCCCAGCCTACTTCTTTTTTTGAAGTGAATGAATTAGATTATCTGCTCCTACTATTAATAATGACGGGTATGAGACAATGAGCAGTGGTTCAAGTGATGATGGGGATGAAGAGTTTGATGATATTCTTCATGATTCTGTTGTTATAAATGTTGGTGTTCAGTCAAATACCAATGATATTATTCGTGACTAATGTATAAGGACTGACAATATAGAAGAGAGCATGACATATAATAATGAATATGCTGAGATTCTCAAGACTACATATCAGTGGAATGCGGAGGTTGCAACTGATATTAATAATGTTTTCAGCATTACGGATGATGAATTTATCATTCTGAATGAATTGGTAGAGCATATGTGTTTCCGCTCAAAATCTAAACTATATTTTGCCTTACACGTTTGGTCAATTACAAATAATGTTTAATTTATCATGGTGGCTTCAAACAAATAAAAATTCATAGTTGCTTGTATATAACATGATAATGTGACGGCAAAGTGTCCTTGGCGTTTACATGCTAACCTAAGCAAGCGATTGGGTGGGGTATGGAAGATATATACCATAAGAGGTCCACATACGTACACGAACCCTATTCTTCAAGCAGGTCACAAGCAATGTAATTCATAGTTCATTAGCTTTTTTATTATTTCAACTATAAGGAAACAAATGGATATTAAACCTAGAGAATTAATTGGAAGACTTGAGGTGAAATTTAACATTAAAGTTTCATACATGAAAGCATGTGATGCACGTCAGAAGGAAGTATTTCGCAGTTGGAAAGAGTCTTACCGATCACTGAATTTGTTCATGGAAGGTATTATTCAAGCTATGCTTGGAATTGTGTACAAAATCCAATCCTCTAGTTCATATCGATTTCAAAGGTTATTTTGCGCTTTTAGGCCATCTATCATTGGTTGGAGTTTCTGCCGGCCTGTACTCAGCCTAGATGGAACTTTGCTATTGGGTAAGTATAGGGGTACATTACTCATAAGTGTTGGGCTTGATGCGAATGACATCCATGCATCGACTGCTGCCCTCCATAATCTTTTGCTTAGAAGGATTGAGGATGTCCTCTATTTATAGGAGCATTGAAGAAGATTATATTAATTATAATATGTTGTCAATACATAGTGATGTTATAATATAAAAGTTGATTTTACAAGTCATACTGATGGGACAACATATGTATATTTACCTGTACATATGATTTCATAATACAAATTATTTCAACTTTTAGATATTATTAACTACAAAAATTTAGAGAAAAGTTAAGTTCTCATTTCAATAATCACCTTTTTATATCACATTAAAATTCAAAACACAAAATGTACAAGTAAGAAGAAGTATTCATCCAACATATAATTTTTTTTTTTTAAAATTTAAATTCATAAGGAACCGAATACATAACAAATAAAAACACTTAGAAACACTTCCTGCTAAACAATAAAAATAGGTGATAAAAAATAAAATATTTTTGCGTACATAACATTAATAAGACTACATAACTTTCCTATTTCTTAATCAACATATGATAACGTGACTGTAGTTGTGCTTGAGTTGGACAATATTTCTGCTTGAACTCGAACTCATACTAAAGGTCTCGCCAGTCGTCAACATTGAAGAACTCTCTAAGGTTACCATCAGGTAATACCTCGTTCATCCGCTCTTTTATTTATAGAAATTCATAATGAATTTATCTTTCTACCAGTCACTATATAAAATTACATGCTCAATATCAAGATGGCTACAGTTAATATCGGGAGGGGAATGTCCACTTTCTCTATGGCATTTCATATTATGGTACCGCATCTGTAAGAAATGAGGGTTGACATGATGACCATTAACTTTCCGAAATTTAATTTGAAGAGATTTTCAACCGACAACATTTAAGAATTCTATTGTCTTATAAAGTTTTACCTTAATTAACTCGGCGTGTATATCCCAGAGGCAATCATCATCGTCTTTCGACCATTCATGTACGCTAAACCTAAATATCTCATTTTGATTAACCTTCTGCTCTAACGAACTATCACCGGCTTGTGCTATGCAATTATGCATTCTTTGGCTTGCATCATCAAACCTTTCTTTGTTGGGAATGTCTGTAATATTCTCTATACATGGCCAAAATATTTTGAATAACTCAAACAATAACTCAACAACTATACTCAATGTATCTACCATTCACCCTTTATATAGTTGAAATTAAAGATATTCAACAAACACTAGCAGCCAAAAACCACAATATAACTTGAATTGACCAGACAACTTTATAGCTCATCCGATGTGATGTATCATTGGAAGCTGAATCAATTGTCATTGCAAAATGATTCTGACAATATCGGGATGCTATGCTTTTAAATATATTTTTAAGAAAGAGGCATTCAATATCCAAAATTAGTACATACAAATATTCAAAAATAGACCACCGGGTTTGAAATTAAAAAAAAAATGTATCTCTAAAGATGCGCTACAAAAATTATACCGGGTTATTTTATCAAAGCACAATTTATAATTTCTGAAGATTTAAATGAAATATTCCCTTTACAACTTCTATCAATGCATTAATTAGTAATTTTTAATGCATTTTTTATTAATTATATCACATAGCCTAAACAATCTAAAACTATTTTTTTTAAAAAAATTTGGGCAAGGATAACTAACTTTTTTTAAAAAAATCAAGACATGCCAAAATCTCTTTTTTTCCTGGTATGTTAATCGCCCATCAAACGGGCGATTATGGCTTAACACATAATCACCCTTTAAACGGGCAATTATGTCTCCTTTTAAATTTTGAAAAAATGATGTGTAATGTCCTAATTATGTTTCTAATTATGCTTACTCTTAAAAATTCCCCTAAAAATTTTTGTACTAGAAATCTTTTTAAAAAAGTTGTAAAAAAATCATCCTAAACAAAACCTTAGGATCTGTTTAGAACAGCTTTCTTGCTACTTTTATGTTGCTTTTTAAAAATGTATTTGTTAGGAAGCTGTAGCTTTTAAAATGTAACTTTTCAAAAAAAAAAAAAAATTAAAATATTATATTTATAGTATTTATAACAAGTTCTAAAAAAGTTAAATTCCCTATAATAATTTTATAATCAGCTTTACAAAATACAGCAATCATTTCAAATAATGCCTTAATTTATAATTCATGAATAATTAAAAAAATTGTCTAATAAATTTTATATAACTATTTTAAAATTAAAAAAGACTGTTATTGTTTATGAATAATTATCATTTTTTAGTTAAATTTCTTACTATAAGCCCCTGATTTTTTTTTTTCATTTTATTATGATGTAAATAATGCACACATGACGTCATGTGAATATTGGCTTATAAAAAATTTTTATGATATTTGTTGGATTTGGAGTAGGTTGGCTTTGGATTATAAAACTAATCATTTTTTTGGAATATAGTTCGTAGGTTGATGGCCAAACTAGCTAATAAATTAGGTTCTTAACGTAATTTCTATCATAATTGGCTCCAAAAATTGGAGAAATTATTCTGTACGGAATCAGGAAGAGAAGAAACATCTGGACAGTGAGCATACATGCTGTGTGTACACTGATTTGACATACACTATGTACAAATATGTACACTCACATATCCAAATGATTTTTCCCATCCAGATGCTGCACAGATTAATTTATCTGAAATTTGAAAGGTCAAATGAAATATATTTCATTTAATTGAAAACTAATTTAATATTATTTAATTTTAGTATATCTTTTATGAAAAATGAATTTATATATTGTTATTAAATTATTATAAATATTGAAGGATTTTTATGATAATTATTTTGGTTATTAAATTAAAATTTTTAATATTTTATAATAAATATTTTTATTAATAATTTTTTATAATTCAAAACTAAATTAATTTATTTCAGTCAAATCAAAATATTTTTATCCAATTTTTTCTGCCCAAATTTGCTTACGTAGACTTGTCAACTCGTATATTTGAATGCGTGCAGGAGACGTGAGCAATTCAGACGTAGTTTTTCATCCGGACTACTATCACGTGAAGCCACATGCATTTTCTCTCTCTTATACACACTTTGCGTATAAGAGAGAGAAAAAATTCATGTGTTTTCACTTGATTGGAGTCCGAAAGCTGGCATCCTAGCTTTGCACGTAATAATTTTTCAATTTTTAAATATAAATACAATATAAAATTTTTGACATGACACATCAATCCTTTAAAAATATTTACTATTCAAATCAATTATGTTACAAAATATTGACTCTGCCTTCACATTTGACACATATAATTGCTTAAATTGAGTAGTATTAGAAATTGTTTATAAGTACAAAATAGGTCAACAAGTGACTTGTAAAACAAAGAATTGACAAAGCCAAAGAGTTGCTTATTGGAATCCTATCGATATTATTGGTAGCGTGCATCTTGAATGACAAAAACACATGTTCTTAGATTAGGAAAAAAGATAAGAAAAGTATGAGTTGTTATATATTATTGGCATTATTTGATGCTGATATAATCTTGTTGATGATGTATTTCAATACATCATATAAACATACTTGTTGTTGTTACTTGATGGTTGGAAGATTATAATAATGTAATTGTGGTTGAATGATTATATCTGGGTGACGATGATTAGATGACCATGGTTGAGTGACGATGACTACATGATCATAGTTAGGTGATGGTGGTTGGAGGGTCATAATCAGCCAACAGTGGTCGAGGGATCGTAATCGAGTGATAGTGGTAAAAGAATCATTATTGTGTGATGATGGTTGGATGGCTATAGTAAGGAGACGATGGTGCTTGAAGGATCGTAATATGGAGATAGTAGTTGGATGATTATAGTTGGGTGATGGTATTTAGAGGACCTTTATTGGGGGAGAGTGGATGGGGGACCATTGTTGGACAACGGTGATCGGAGGACCATACACAAGCGACACTAGTACTGTGACAACGATCAAGTGGTTGTTTGATTGTGATGCTTGGGTGGAGCTCCATAATTCTTCAAGTCACTGATATCTCTTCAATTTCAAGCCAATGTCCAAGCCCCCCCTTCATATAGAGAGTATGTGACTATTTATAATTTTTTTAAAAATAACATGCCTCATAAATATTGTCAAAATATGAAACACACCAATATACGACCCATGACTACCATGACAACATTTAAATGCTTTAATGATGATGAAATTAGTTAATATTGGGCTCGTTAAATTTATCTTATTGAGATGTTTGATTTGACTATAAGTATGAGATATTTGGAGATTATTTGTTCCTTTAGTTAATGTCTCGAATTTTAAATTACACTTGAAGTACTTGATTTGGGCTTATTCAGAATCGACTCGGATCTGTTTTATTATCTCCATGTTTTGTCTCATCGAGATGCTCAACTTGACTATAAATTTGTTGAAATCAGAATCCGAACTATTTTTAATTTACATCCAGAAATTTTTTATTCAAAATTTTGAGGGAGTATCAATTATACTCTTCTATAGCATTAGGTTCCTACTAATATAAGCTTGATTAAGCATAATTTTCCATGAAAGATAGACCAGAAGGTTCAAATCTTAGCTCAAATCGATTCGATTCAATTAAACTGTTTCCTAAATAAGCTCAAATCATAAATTCCAAGTGTATTTGTTCATAGAAATCTCTCGGACACAAAATCTTAAATTATGAGCTTCTCAATCATTTCATCCGTTCATAAAATTATGTAAATGTATCTGCAAAATGTAAAACATACACATAAATACATATAATTTCATTATCTTATCATCCCCCCAAACAGAGTTGTTGAGCTATTTCCACCCAATAATTCAAACATTTCAATATTCTTAAGTCATCTTCACCATCTATTCAAAATCCAATCCCCTCAGCCATTCCTTACAAAAGCAGTCTCCTCCTCCATTTCCTCGTCTAATCCCTCACTTTTCTCTTCCAAGTCATAGTTAGCTATGTTTGGTAATCTTCACAACAAACTTATAAATATATAAATCTGCTGCTCCCAATCTTATTCTCTTCATAACTTAACCTCCATGGCGATAACCAGATACTCAACCTCCATTAATCCTATCTTCTTCTTCTTCTTCCTGTTCTTCTTCTTCTTCTTCTTCTTCTTTACTTCAGCTGTAAATGGCCAGCAGATCTCTACAGCATGTACAAGTTCGCTAATTAGCACCTTTACTCCCTGCTTCAATTTTCTCACAGGAAGCACTAATGGAGGAGGTCAATCTGGTGATTGCTGCAGCTCTCTGGCTTCTCTTGTCAGCAATAGTGTGCAGTGTGCATGCCTTATACTTACAGGAAATGTGCCCTTAACTTTGCCATTTAATAAAACTATTTCCATTTCATTGACACAACTTTGTGGAAGAAGATCCGTTCCTCTTCAATGTAGCACTGGTTTGTTCTCTCTCTCTCTCTCTCTCTCTCTCAATAATCAATCACAGCCGTCCAAAATGCATTAAATGATTGAAATTATTGATAAAAAATATATCAAGTGCAGAAAAGCAGACATGTGGTAAATTTTAGATAATTAGCATAAATTAATGACATTTGATGTAGAAGATATAGAATTATTAGTTAAAAACATTAAGCTTCCTTTTAAAAAATAATTCTAGATTTTAAAGCAAGAGGCAATGTAATTCTTTTTCCATCTATATTTATACATTAATACTTCTCTATAAATTATTAAGATAAATAAATTAATGTTGAGTAAGATTTCATTTTGAACACTTTTTTTTGTTTCTTTCTAAAAAAGCTTTCTAATATAAAAAATTCTTAAATTAGAAAATTTTATACTAGAAAGCCGTTTTAGAAAGCATTACAAAAGCTGTCCCAAACTAAACCTAAGAGTATTTTGGAAACAACTTTCTTTCTATTTTGTTTTTCAGATCACACATAATTTTTATTTGATTGCTATTTTTTTACTAATTTAAAAAAATTTTAGTGTTGGAAAGCCGCTTTTACAATAACTTTCTAAAAAGTTATTTTCTCCAAGAGAGTTTTAAAATCACCTTAGAAAAAAGCTGCAGTTGTCTTAAACACGCCCTGGATCTCTAATTTTAGTTGAGATATGTTCATATGAATGCATTAAATTCAATAAAAAATCCATTTTTTGATAAATAAATTCTTAATTATTGGTATCACTCGTTATTAAAATATAGCTATTAATTTTTATGTTGGGTTATATAATGTTGGATTTCATTTGTTTGCAGCTGTTGGAGCTCCTCTTCCAGGCCCAGGTACACAACTATATTATTTTTTATTTAAATTTTGTTTGGAACAGCTTATCAGACCACTAATTACAGCTTTTAAAATATTTTTCATTAAAGAGTTGCTTTCTATTACAGCTTTAAAAAGTTACTTTACTATAATAACTTTACAGAATAATAAAAAAACTATTCCAAACAAAACCTTAATGCATCAAATTTTAATATAACTTTACTTTGCAGGGCCAGTCAGCTATGCTCCTTCGCTTCCTCCGCTCCCCCCACAGCCCCCTCTTCGTAAGATATCTACACTTTTACAATAGCCGTAGGATCAACATTGGATTGCTGAGATTCAATCTCATCATTTCTATTTTGTCTTTATTTTTCTTGCTGTAGCTTCTGTTAACGTGGACTCACCACCGCCGCCCATTACTACATCATCACAAACACCATCTGCGATAGCATCTCCACCGTCCATTAACGACACTCCAGAGAATCAACGGCCATTGATTCTCCCTAATTCAGCTGCAAAGATCTCAATGGTGCACTCCTTGTCAATCTTGCTGATCTCTATGGTGGCACTCAAATATTTATTCTAATTTTAAGGGATTAGAATATTTGTAATAGATTGTAAAATTTTTAAGGTGTATATGATTCTAAATGTATTGTGATATGTGGCATGCATTGAATAATTTTCATTATTTGATGAAAGAAACATTTGTAATTTTTAATTTCATTTTTTTATGGTTATTTACACATAAAAGGAGTATTTAAATTGTGAACAAGTGATGTAATTCTAAATGTTTGTTGCAATGCGCTCCTAATATTGTAAATGTGCTGACATAAAAAGGGGTGTATCCGGCCTTTATTTTTAGGGTGGATAAACTAAATATATAAAAGAGCAAATATAAAAAAATATGTATATATTTCATTAGTAAAATTCTAAGTAAAGCCTTATATTTTATTATAATTTATAAAAAAAAAAATACAAACTTTACCTTTTCACTTTGCATTTTTTGATAATGTTGCATAATGACTTCATTCGAAACAAAATCAAATACTTCTTTCTTAATATATGATACTAGATAATCAATAAGCCATGCATTACCCATTTTGCTACACAGCCGATGCTTAATAATCATCATTGCAGAAAAAGTTCTTTCTACTGTAGCAGTAGAACTGGTAAAGTAAGTGCCAAAACAATAAGTTTATAAACCAGGAGAAACACAATATTTTTTTTTTGCCTTTACAATCTGTTTTACAATAGAAGCAATACTAGTCAAAGATGCAAACTCATTGCTAGTACGCATATTAATAATATAAGTATATCGTTGATTTTCAAGAGACACAAGATCAACTATAGAGAAATCTGTTGGATATAACTCTATAAGACGAATTAACTTTTCCTTATCATAAACAAAAACACATTATTCGGATTTAGACATGTCAAATAATGAAATAAGTACTAATTTTAGATAACCAGTTATTAAGTTCCAAAAGTTGCATATCAACAAAAGTATATAATAAATCAATTCGATAATGATGAAAGTTTATTATTTTATGCACCTTCTCGTACAGAACGTCTTCAAGCCTTGAATTTAGAATTCATATTTGGAATTTTAATTTCAAAAGAATTACAAAAATATGACACTTCATCAAGTAAAAACTCTCACCCATTTTTCCTCATCATCTACAATCGTTGCTAAAACAATTGAACCAATTTCATTGCATTTATAATATCTTGATCATTTCTTTATTAATCTTGTGATAATTCATTTGTTATCTCTAAAATATCAATCATTAAATGTAGTGATAAGACAAAGTCAAAATATTTAATGATATATATTAAAACACCATCTTCAACTGATTATTGATCATATAACCCCTATTCCTTGATAATTTCAACCACTTCAAGTACAAAAGCATATATTTTGTTAGACTGATTAATGTTTAAAAATGCAAGCTCCAATAGGTATCACCAGCACGATGCAAATTGATTTCTTGGTTCAAAACTCGACAACTAATTAACTCTTCACTACTTAAATGAAAAATTATTTTATCACGCTAAATAGCTTTTAGAGTATTATTTCTCTTGTATGAAGCTCCAATAGTATTGATAATTTTTGAAGTGATTTCAAATAAATGTTTTACTTGCCAATAAATTTTTGCAACAACCACCAAACATAATTGAAGTTGATGAGCAAAAATAATAAATATAAAATTCGTGAGGATTAACTTTCAGAATGCGTGCTTTTAAACCATTAAACTCATCACGTATAATAGATGCTCAATCATAACCTTGATCACATATTCTACATATACTTATCGAATGTTTTGCAAGAAGACCTTCGACTAATGCCTTGAGTGTTACTGCATTTGTTGAAGATATATGGGTAATACAAATAAACATTCAATTACTTGGCCCAACTTATCCATGTATCTCACCATAACAACTAACAGTTCTTTTGTAGATACATTACGGGACTCATCAACAAGAATGATGAAGTAATAATCAGCAATATCATTCATAATTATAGTCAATGTTTCAACATCCATATAACTATAAATCTCTTTTAGGGCCTTTGGTGCAATCAATTTTAACTTAGAACTTGTATTTTCAAATGCAACTTTTATGGCCTCTTCATTATAATTTGTAAGAAACTGAAATAGTTTAATATAATTTCCTTGGTTATCCTAACTAGATGATTTATCATGCTCACGAAACAATAGTCATTGACAAATAAGAAATTAAACACAATCAACAGCTGCAGTAACATGATACGAAATTCTTTTTTATTCATCTCCTCCTTGCCCGACCATAAAGTTGGAATACTTTGCTCTTGAAGCTTCATTAAAGCCTGACGTTTTTATCTAGCATTGTTGTGTGCACTGTTATGTTCTCCGACATGACCAAAAAGCTTCTCTTTTCTCTTTCAGTTCTTAAATCCCTCACCAAAAAATACGTCTCCACTGCCTTGACAAGTACTAACTTGCTCTTGAGGCTTAAATAATTAACAACACAGATAAATACGACTTTTATACAATGTATTTTATCCAATCAGGAAATTCTTCAAACTATTTTGAGTTAAATCTATGTGCAATATTTCATATCATTTTTTTAAAACACTTTATTCCATAAAAAGAAGGGAGATACAAACAAGTCCAGTCACTGGCCAAACAAAACAACACAAGTAGGCAAAAATAACAAAAAACAAACAACCGACATCAATGCGAACATTAATAAATGAGTCAGGCTCAATTAAAGGTGGATCAACTGCAACCACCCAAAATGTAGACAAGGACCATCCAAAGGAGTAAACACATAGCCACACAACTGAAGCCCACACTACCTGCCAATGGTTGCCAACAAGCCAAGCCATCAGGAATGATAGAAGAGACCTGCGACATCATTGCCCAGATCAGAAATAACACCCCCAGCAGCACAATCCACACCAGTAAAGGAAAAGAGCGCAATTAGTAAGAGAAGACACCAAAGTAGTAGCCACCAAGCCAAACACAAGAAAACTATTTTTTGGATTTTCTCTTTCTTCGTTTACCCCCCCGGTACGATATTTTCTCGCAAACCATCCTCCTATTCAAACACTTCCTCTTCATCAACTTCAGAAGAAGAAGAAGAAGAGCCTTGAAGCCAATCAATTTTTGACTTAACAAAGGCGTTAGCAAACAATAAAGCAACTAGGACATCAACAAGCTGCTCATTTACTCCCAATCCCACGGAGGAGGCCGACATAAGCCGACAACAGGCGTCACAAGAGAGACAATAGAAAGGTTAATAGCCACAACACCAAGAGACACTTCATTTCCAACAATAACAGCAGGACTAAGAGCCTCCCCAACCACAGCCCCATCACAAAAAGCACCAATGAAATTCTCGGTACCCTTAAGAGCCAAAGCATCATTAGAAACCCCAACATTCACAGCCTCAGATGGTCTACCCAAAAGACCAGTAGCATCTAGCTCCAAGGCAGCAGAGTCAAAATTCACAACATCATCCTTACCACCATCATCAATACAATTCACCATACAATTGTTCAACGTCAAAATAGCCTCCTCTCCAACAACATTCGGCAAGGTCATAGGGGAGCCAGTGCCCCCATTAGTTAAACCCACTATATTTCCATCATCACAATCATTCACCAAATGCAAACACTATCCTCATTAACTACCAAAATCTTCCCGCCCTTAGGTGAATCAACAGCAGTCACAGAAACGTCGTGACAACCAACCCCCAAAGAACTAGGAGACACAAAAGGCCTAACAACCGAATTGACTAAACATTGGTTCGACTAAGTTCCACAACAACATCTTCATTAGACATGTCGAACAGACTCACATTTTTAACATGCTCAATAACAGTAGGATGAACCTCCAGGTTCATATGGGCTTTAACAAATGTGGGTGCAAGATAAGACATTCTGATTTGGAATGCCCCAAAGATTTGCAATGAAAGTAATACAATAGAATATCATCCATAATAACCGATTGGACATGTCCCAAATTATCCGGACCAATCCAAACCTTGTTAGGAAATTGTTTGGAAACATCCAATTCGACCAAAACACAAACAATCGAGGGTCTATAACCAATAGAGATAACATGGTCAATTTTAAGGGGGTGGCCAAACATGGAATTGAGGTCATGAAGAATTCTTGGAGAAAAAAGATGAGGTCTAAAATTCAGGAAAGACACCCAAATATGAATAATAAGTGATTCAACATCCACATCAAACAAAGGCGACCACTTGATTAACTGCACGTAACAATTGTTAATAAAATAGGATCGATGTTCAAAGATATTACAGTAATCCAAATCATTCACTAATTTTATCAAGACATGCTTCAGATTGAAAAGAAAGGAGTTAATAATGCTTATATTCAAGAGAAGTGCTATGGAGAGTTCTTGAAAAGAAAGGAGTTAATAATGCTTATATTCAAATCATTAAAGATATGTATGTAGGAGCTATTACTTGTGTTCAAACACAAGGTGGTTTGACCAAGTATTTCCTATTTCGGTTGGATTACATCAATGATCAGTCTTAAGTCCATATCTTTTTGCTTTAGTCATGGATGTTCTCACTAAAAATTTGCAAGAGGATGTACCTTGGTGTATGCTTTTTGCTGATGATATTCTTTTTGTTGATAAGACTAGAGAGGGAGTTGAAGGTAAACTCAAATTATGGAGGTCATCTTTAGGGTTTAAAGGTTTTCGCTTGAGTAGATCTAAAACTGAATATATGGAGTGTAATTTTAGGGGGGGAGGTTTTAAATGTAAAATGTAAAAAAATTTTTTCTCAGTAGATCGTACTGTACGATGATAATTCGTACCATACGATCAGAGGGTTGTAGGACGATTATGTGAATAGATCGTACCGTACGAATATATTCGTACTGTACGATATGTTCAAAGCCAAAACCCTAACAGTCGTTTTAACTTAAGTAAGGTGTTTTTCGCCGCTCGTACTGTACGAATAAGTTCGTACTGTACGATGTTCTTTAAATACATACTTAACTTAACCCGTGATTAGTGCAAGAAATCTGGACTTAATTATAATTTGAACATCATACTATACAAACCCATGCGTACAATACGATGAATAGAGACGAATTATAATCGTCCCAGATGATCAGTTGTTTTTGTCTCATCATACTGTACGATGTACATCGTACCATACGATGAACATAGATAATGTTTGATCATCTTGACTATCGTCTTGTACGAACTATGTTGTCATGGATCGTACCGTACGATTTAGTATCGTACTGTACGAACATTTTTGAACTGTTCGTACCACTTCGTACCAGGACGAAGTCTATTTATGAAGATCGTACTATACGATTGTAGAACCGTACTGTACGATAGTAACGACTGAATTGAGTATTTTTTGGGTTTTTTGAGACCTCTATTTAAGCACTCTCATAAGACTTTGTAAGAGTCTTTGGCAGCCATTGTGTCTTCATTCTTTTGGAGAAAACTTGAAGAGAGGACTTGAAAGGGAGAGAGGAAAGGGTGAAGTTTGAGAGAGGGAGAAGATTCTTGGAGGGGGTTTCAAGGG